TGCATCTCGTTTTGGAAGTCCCTTGTGCTGGAGGACTCTAAACTTTCGCAGCACATCTTGTCTTGAAAGTCCCTTGTGCTGGAGGACTCTAAACTTGCACAGCACCCAAGTGTTAAAAGGCTACGGGCCTTTGTAACATAGGTCCCTTGCGCTGGAGGGCTCTAAAATTGCGCAGCACCCAAGTGTTAAAAGGCTACGGGCCTTTGTAACATAGGTCCCTTGTGTTGGAGGACTCTAAACTTGCGCAGCACCCAAGTGTTAAAAGGCTACGGGCCTTTGTAACATAGGTCCCTTGCGCTGGAGGGCTCTAAAATTGCGCAGCACCCAAGTGTTAAAAGGCTACGGGCCTTTGTAACATAGGTCCCTTGTGCTGGAGGGCTCTAAAATTGCGCAGCACCCAAGTGTTAAAAGGCTACGGGCCTTTGTAACATAGGTCCCTCGTGCTGGAGGACTCTAAACTTTCGTAGCACCCTTGTTTGAGATATCTCCCTTGCTTTGTCTTGTTTTACCACTGACGGTTTACCGCGTGGGTCTTGTAAGTAAGTAAGTAAGTTTTGAAGGACCAAGGTTATGCCAAGGTTATGCTTTTGTTTTGCCAAAATGTCATCACCCCATGTTTTAAGGTTTAACGTATGTTAAGTATGTAAGTAAGTTTTGAAAGACCAAGTTCGAATGATGTTTTGTTTTAAGCCAAGCTAAGCTATGTTATGTAAGTTTTGAAGGACCAAGGTTATGCCAAGGTTATGCTTTTGAAGGACCAAGGTTATGCTTTTGTAAGTAAGTAAGTAAGTTTTGAAGGACCAAGGTTATGCCAAGGTTATGCTTTTGTTTTGCCGAAATGTCATCACCCCATGTTTTAAGGTTTGACGTATGTTAAGTATGTAAGTAAGTTTTGAAAGACCAAGTTCGAATGATGTTTTGTTTTAAGCCAAGCTAAGCTATGTTATGTAAGTTTTGAAGGACCAAGGTTATGCCAAGGTTATGCTTTTGAAGGACCAAGGTTATGCTTTTGTAAGTAAGTAAGTAAGTTTTGAAGGACCAAGGTTATGCCAAGGTTATGCTTTTGTTTTGCCAAAATGTCATCACCCCATGTTTTAAGGTTTAACGTATGTTAAGTATGTAAGTAAGTTTTGAAAGACCAAGTTCGAATGATGTTTTGTTTTAAGCCAAGCTAAGCTATGTTATGTATGGTTTTGACAAGGATATAATATGTACTATTTCGAAAAGATCTCGGGTATCATTCATTTAACCCCTTTATTACTTATACCATTCACTGAGTATCCAAGCTCACCCTCCCTATGTATATATGTAGGTAACAAGCAAGAAGTCGGCTACACCGGAATGTGTGTGTTTTGTATGCATGCTCTGTCGGCATTGGGGATGTCGGCAATCCTGAAGATTATGTTTCATGTTTTGTAAATTATGTGTTTTGTTTATGTCGGCTTGAGAAGCCTTTTACCAAGATGTAATATGTATTTTTGTACTTCATCTCTATTTGTTTTCAAGTTGTAAAGCTATATAAAGTTGTATGCCATTCCATTTGACTTATGCACTACTCTTATGGACCACTTGTATTTAAATTATTGCTTCTGCATTCGTGAGCCCCATATATTTATACTCTGATTGTGTGTGAATTTTGAAAGTTGGCCTTTGGTAATCTCAGATTACTGGCCATCACGGCACCAAACTACTAGGGGCAGTTTGGGGTCATGACACATAACATTTCAAAATGAAAACCACAATGGTTTCAAGTCAATGGGCTTCATTTTATTCATGAAATCCCAATCAAATATGGAGTATGATTTTTCAACAATCTGAGAATGGCAATTGAATCAAAAAAAAAAATCAAATATGCGAATGTAAAAGGAATTGAACCTAAAGATCAGATTTGGTGTGAATCGGAGTGGAATCGAACAAGCCGTGGGGGTGCAAGAAGGCGAAGACACATCTGATAAAATGAAAACAACTTGATGCTAGTACCTGAATCAATTATATCATTTTAGCTCCTGAGATTATCCTTTAAGTTTATGTAGAGGCATCCTGTAAGTATGATTATCTACAAGCTCCTTCTCTTGCAACTCCTTCAACAACCTTATGGCATCTCCAAGCCTCTGTTTCTGGCAGATCTCGTCAAGTACTGTCCAATATGTGACCAAATCAGCAGACCACCGGTTTTTCATCATCTCCCTCAAAAATTCACTGCTTCATTAACTTCTCCATCAAGAGCCAAAGAGTTCACAAGGGAGTTGTATGCCTTACTGCTTGGAACAAACCCTTTCTTCATTTCATTACACAAATCCCTACCTTTTTTCGTTCTCCCTTGGACACATAGCCCATGAATCAAATAATCATAGGAATATGAATTGGATAGGAAGCTATAGACCACATCCATTTTTTTCTCTATCTTGCAGCTTGTAAACCTAATATGGTCAAGGAAGATGGATTGGGTTTCTAAAAGTTGAGTGGAACAGAGCTGTTATATCAAGATGTAAGTGGTTCCCATTCAGCAATAATCAAGACTAAGTCTAGTGTGAATGTGTGAAAGCCTAATTGTTGAAACAAAGAAGTTTCTACAAAGTTAAATACCCCCAGTCATGTTCATGGGCGTGGAGAAGAATAATAACAGTGAAACACACTAAGATTATCACCTTTAACAGTCGCACAAGGCAATTCATAAATACATATAAGTAGTATGCATATGCATATGCCTAGCTTATAGGCACACACAACCCTCTTTTCTCATGTTTTCTACAAAGGGGTCCATGTATATA